TCTATGATCAGTGAGCGGTGTGTTCCCCGCCGGTGTCCTGCGCTGATGCTGCTCTGCTCGTCTGTGAGGGTTTATATGTACAGTTCCTGACCGTGATGATCAATGTGTTTGAGTACACTGCTGAATAAACACACACACACACTCACACATGGTGTTTACTGTGTTAAAGTCCTTTATTGCTGAAGCGTGCTGTAGGAGACGGTGTTGCTGGAAAGATTCTTAAACACAGATTATACAGAGAGAGTTTCCTGCAAAAATATAACACCAATATAAAGACCTGATATCCTGTCACCAGCACATACTCTCTGATGAAGCTCTAGAGGAAAACAGCAGATACACACACACACACACACGCGCACGCACGCGGAGCGCTGGCTGAACACTGAGCATCTCCTTTAGTGACTGCAGAAGCTGTAAGGTGCAGGATATTAAGAGTCTGTGAGATTATTAATGCTGTAATGATGTTTCTGAGCTCTGATTCTGCTGTTCAGCTTCACTACACTCTTCTCTCCTGTTTTCTGGCCATGAGCTGGTCAGTTTTAGCATGTGAGACAACATTGTGCTCAGAATGGTGCAGTTTAGCTCTTCATCAAGATCTTCACTATATACATCTATCACTGACAGACCTCTGTATCAGACAGACGGACAGAGCTAATCCCTCTGAGTGAGTCTGAATACGCCACATTAACACCTGAAATAGAAACTGTACAGTTGAACACACACACTGCAGGTGAGCGGCTGTATTCCCGTGTGTGTGTTGCGCTGGTGTGGATGTTCAGGATTTTCAGCTTCAGAGTTTGAATGAAGCCGGCCGGAACTTCATCTCAGTGAAGGGAATGGAGAAATCCTGGCCTTTCCACGCCGTCCAGATCACACCCTGAACACACACACACACACACACACACACACACACACACACACAGTGGCCTGTTTAACACAGTGTTCGCTCAGTGTAAATTACCCTCAATCCCCTTTTTTTGTAATGAATTCCTGGTGTAATCTCGACAGACTGTGTGTCTTTGGAAAGGTCTGATGTTTTACAGCCGGTGGTGTTTTTAGTGTGTTTGAGTGGGCACATGCGTGGACGGCACACTCGAGCTCTGCAGGGTCTGTTTAAGATAGTCTGAGTGTTTTATATGTTGTTACAGACACACAGAATCATCCTGCAACTGTTCTGCAGCATATGACGTGTCCCAAACACTGTTTTAACCGTCCATAATGGGCAAAAATGTTGATTTCACTCTCTGATAGTCAAAACATGTTCAAAATATTCCTATATTAAATATGCATTACAGACAGGCAGGAAACAGTGTTTATGTACATTCAGTCCACATATATGAACATCACTTTCCTCTAAAAGTACATCTTATCAAAAGATGATCCTCACGTTTTATTCTAATCAGCTTCCAATAAGCCCAAATAGCAAAGAGAAATGAGAGATGCATGTAGAAACAGCCTGAGCATTAGGAGATGTTATCTAAACATTATGACTATTATGGCAAACTACACATCAAATATTTCTCTTCCATATCTGGGGACTGATAACTGACTGACATTACTGAGCAACAGTTATGAAAACATTTGGAAACCAAACTGCTGAATTATTCTTATAAATATTGTCAAAAGTTTTTACAGAGGAATACAGTTCATATGTCTGAGAACACAGGGGGCGCTCTTGTATGGTCACTAATGCAAACTGAAGGTCTCCTGATGGCCGTGTCTGGTACTGCAGCCACACTAACCCTGACTGAGCTCATCTCGAGAAATCAACATCAGATTTAGAAGATTATATTAGTTTTTGCTCTGATTTTCTGTTGATTTTAGGCATCAGGCAAACCACTTTTAAGAAGATATTTTCTGAAATATAATACATATAAATGTGTTGTTTAATAATCATGAAGACACTTCTCTTATTTTAACTGGATGAACTTCTGCTGTAATCTGACTTCTGTCTCCTTTAACATGAATCTGCACAGATCATCTCCAGCTGAACGGGTCATCTTCATGTCCTAAAAGTTTTATTAGGAGCTGATTTGTGGCTCGTACTGTAAGATCTGTACTCAGTTTGTTTTATTGAGGCTTGAACTGTTATCTGCTCTGAATACAGCTGTCTGACACAACACTAGCTGGAGGAGCTCACACTGCAGCTGACACGCTGGAATAACCCCGATCACAGAGCATTTCCTCATCACACACACACACACACACACACACACTGCAGCGGGAACACACAACACAACACAACACACTGCTGTCTTCAGTAAACCTTCATCTGTGAGAGAAACTCAACCAGGAGCAGGAGATGACGGCCTAAAGTCAGCTCTGTGTGTGTCTGCTGTTTGCAGTGTTTGTGGCTGCAGTGTGTGTGTATAACTGCATTGTGTGTGTGTGTGTGCACATGTGTGTGTGTGTGAGCGTGTGTGTGTGAGCGCACCTGGTGGTTGGAGCTGGTGTTGTACAGGCCGTTCAGGTTGGCCTCGTGGCAGTTCTTGTACCACCATCCACCCCTGTAGGACATGGCGCAGCGGGTGATGAAGGGCCGAGGGTCTCTGTCCCGCGCCGAGAACGGCCGACCGCTGTGGTACGACAGAGAGTCTCCTGAAGAACAGGAAACAGGAAATCACCAACAGCAGAGGAAAACTAGTGAAGAAGAGCAGAGAGGAAATGAAGAGAAGCGGAGCAGCAGTAACCCATTCACCGGCGCTGCCCGAGTATCCTGCGACGCGCAGTGTGTAGTGCTTCTTGGCGGTGTCGATGGTGAAGGAGGAGTATCGAGCAAACGCTGACTCTGACCCGGCCCGCAGATCCACACGCAGCTCCATCGGCACCGACTGGGTGAAGTTATGGAGCAGCTCATTCCCTACACGCACACATGCACACACACACACATGCACACACACACAGCACAAGCAGAAAACAGTAAACTCTGCATTGGGTATCCTCTACTCCCCATCACCACACACACACACACTCAAACATACACACACACACACACACACACACACACACTGCTCACCCATCCAGAACTCTCCGTCCAGTGTCCCGAAGCCGCTGCTGTACTCCCTCCAGCGCCTGAAGAAGTTTGTCTTTCCGTCTTTTCTTCTCTGAAACACCTGAAACACACAGAATACAGCCGTGGGCGGAGCTCAGATCATTAGGGGTGTGGCTCTGAGATTATGAGGGGTGTGGTTCTGAGATTATGAGGGGTGTGGCTTTGAGATCATGAGAGGTGTGGCTCTGAGATTATGAGGGGTGTGGCTCTGAGATTATGAGGGGTGTGGCTTTGAGATCATGAGAGGTGTGGCTCTGAGATTATGAGGGGTGTGGCTTTGAGATCATGAGAGGTGTGGCTCTGAGATTATGAGGGGTGTGGCTCTGAGATTCTGAGGG